GCAGACGACCTCATGAGAGAACTTTGAGCTGAGGGATGACTGAGGTATCTAACGGCCCTCGTCCTCGTGAAAAATTTTGAAAGAGCTAGGCGAGGTGAGGAGATTATTTTAGTATTTCTGAACAAGTCTTGAACTGGATTACTCGCCAAAAAAAGTTTGAAAGTTCTCTAGGCCTGCGTGGATTTTGGTCCCCAAAGTGAGCCCTACTTACTAATCGCGCTATCCTCGCGGGCAACATGGGATTAGGTCATACCCTTTTTCCATTTAAGTGTCGTGGAACGCACATAAACTGAACCCATTTTCATTTCAGAAGCAATTGAACGAGCATATCCAGAACACCTTTCTCGATGGATATCGTTACTTGGCCCTAATCCCGATGGCGACCTAGACAATTCTCATGACGACCTAATGTGCTGGCCGAACGCGTAAAACTGTCATTTTAGTTGAAGAGAAATGATCATCCTCTACAAAAACTGATTGCTCTGAGGAGGGTAACGATATTCTTGTCACGGATCGATCGGACTACTTAGTCGACAAAATTAAGAACAAATTGACAGTACCACTCCCATACCAAATCCTCTCTGGAGAGCTCTAGAGAACTACTTTGTATGTCACTAGATTCAGAAGAAAGTTGTGAGTGCCAAACCCCAGATGACGCACTAGAAGGCTTGACGGCCTTGGGGCTCAATGTGCCTGCTCTGTGGCCAGGGTACAGCATCGTGAAAAATGTGTGAAATGGTAGTGTAGGAACGACCTCCCCTCTTGCAAGAAAGGGTGCCAGTACGTCATCTCCTCTTCCCAAATAAATGGGGTCTCGGTACGACCCTTTCCCCCTTCTCCAACACCTACCTGCCAATTTCCCACATTTTTCAGGTTTGACCAAAAGATTTTCCGTTGAGCGGTGGGGATATCCAATGTAACGGATGAATTTCCGAGATTTTTCCCAACTTCCTACCTTTTTTTTCCGGAATTTCCCGATGATTTTCCTACTTTTTCCCAAACATTTTGCTGTCCAGCTGGAGAGAGGAGGGAGGAGGAAAGAGGTATAGTACACATGAAACAGGAAAATTACACGAAAAGTCAACAACCAGGAAAAATGTTTTCCCAACGCAGAAATTACTCTTGAAGGCACATATGACCTCCCTCCTCTCCCAACGACCAAATAGACCACCTCTTCCCAACAACGACTAAATACGCCCCCCCCCAGCAGAAGTACGACCCCCTATGTGCTTCACACAAGGATGCTGTACCTTGTCTGTGACATGGTGGCATTCGAAGGCACCGATCATAGGAATCCCATGCGCTCCCACTTGTAGTACCGTCCTTTCCGTCCCTTTCCTCGCTACTCATGTTTTTCACCCTCTGTTTTCAAGAGAGGCCCGGAAAAGTGACAAGTGCATGCGTCAGCCGGCATTCAAGTCTGGCATATTCTATCCGGGCTAACTGAGCCCTCTGTATTTAGATTGGAAGTTCTCACTGTACTCGTGGAAGATTAGAACGGATTTGAAAGTTCCTGCCAACATATCAGGCAATTCTTGCAAACTCCTGCTAGGCTATAAATTGGACCAGTTTCATTTGCACACCATTTGATGATTATTTCTGCCTAAGTTCAGAAAGAAGAAGCTCCGGGTTGGACCAGCAAATTCATCCAAGCAAGAAGAATTTGGTACTTCATGAGGTAAGGCCCTCCCATTCTGAGAGCGTAATTTCATTTGACTTTCAATCTTTTGGTCGAAGGTCTACCCCTCCTCTTTCCTAGAGTATTTTGCCTTTCCCAGGCAAGAAACATACTTGCATTATTTAGTAGCTTAGCAAGAGTTTACTGAACGCTACGGTGTTATCTGGTATACTGACAGATCTGGACGACATCCTCCCACCCCAAGAAGCGGACTGGCCCCGCAAAACCCTCTTATACATATAATTACTGCTGTAAGTCAGCTGTAAAAAGCAACCAAGATTCTGATGAGCCCATACAGGAGCTCGATCGTAGGAGAAGATACGACTGTTTCTGTATGTATCCAAGTTCGCTAAAAATGCTAATGTCTCAGGTGGTCATCATTGCCGATTTCCCAAACTGTATTTTATTTATTATTTATGGGCGAACGCGGTGAAGTGGTATGATGCGCCGCTCAGCACGTACGTGGTGCGAGGACCGAATCGGATCAGATCTCCACGTTCATCCATGCGTTCCACCTCTTCAGGTAACTTGGTACCGGGCATGCTTGAGGGTATGAACTGTCGGCTCGTGCATTTTCTAATCCTGACGATTCCGAATGGAAGTAGAGTGAGTGGCCCATCCCAAAAGGGATTGACCAACGGTAAAGCACATTGACGGACTGATGGGAGAAAAAAGAGGGGAGATTGGTCCTAAGGACACTTCTTTGTAGAGAAGAGTTGTTCCTCCGACCAGACGGGGTTTTTCTAGCGCAGATTTTTTCCGCTATGTGATGCTTGACCCTGCGCACATTGCGGAGCCCTGAGCGGCAGTAAAAAATAGAGGACCTTTGCTTGTGTATTATTCTTTCCGCTACTTCGTTTTCGTACTCAATATTCTGATACTTCACTTTTCGTTACGAATAGCTAGTAATTAGGTCCAATATGCAAGAGTGCAAGCAGGGTACAGCATCG